GGTTATATTATGAAGTTCACCGTAGTTGTTTAAAAACCATTCACAAAATACAGCCCGTCGCGGAAAATCAACTTCATGAAGTTCTTGCTGACAAGTTAAACGATAGGAGAGCAAACGCAAATCTTTTTGTAACACTGTGTGGCAGGTACCGACTGATACTCCCACCATTTGTGATAAAACACGTACAGAAGTTCTTGGCGCATTTTCCATTATTTGCTGGACATTTTCTTTTAATTCTTCAGTCCGCTTTTTAGGTCGGCCGCTTCCTTATTTTCTTGTTACACTGCCCGTTTCACGAAAAACATTAACACAACGCTGAACTGCACTTTGAAAAATGTTGTACTCAACAACGCCGGGAAATTGATTTTGAAATTCTATGAAACATTCCTCAATATAATACTTCCATATTCCATCAATCTTGCGTCCATTTCTAAAATAGGACTCTATGATAAACACTTTTTGTTCTTGAGAAAACACCATTTTAAACGCTTTTTAAAACGAAAATATTCAAATTGATAGCGGCGATATAGCGCTTTGACAGATGACGTTTAAGTTCATTTGCTATACGCTACGCCCTACGTCCAAATTTTCAGAACCAACTTGACCACGTTTTTATTTGAACGCTCGTTATTTGAGACAGCAATAACTTGTATGGAATCGTTGATCCCATTTAAACTATGCAAGATGAAAATAGAGGGAATAAATTGAATGAATGTCACAATATATGCAAGTGTAGTTTCAAAAAAAATAAAAATCATTTACTTATTTCTAAATCAATTGCCATTTCTAACCAACTCTTAACTTCAATTTAATTTAACTCAAATATAATCTAACTCCATTTTATCCTATTCTAATCAACTATTAATTTTAATTTGAAAATATTCTACTAAATATCATTTTCATCATCAACTGACGTATAGGGCCCGGATAGTTTTTCGAGGACCCTGGTCTGGGGGCCCACAGTCGTGCATGCGTCATATTATAAAATGATTTCGAGAAGAGCGCCCCGAAAAACCCCCTGATGCGATTTTCGGCTCGTTTACGCGAATTTTACAGGAAAACTCCCGGAGATGACGTCCATGTCCAGGTGTCCGGGGGGTGCTCGCCGAAGCCAGATTATGAATCAGCAACCCGAAAAACCTCCGGGTGTCAAGCCTCGTTGCATTTAAGAGTGAAATCAAGGAGAAGCCTCGAAGATGACGTTAATCATCAATCCTAAGGTCCAGGTCGGCGATGGATCTATTTGAAAGTCATATTCGGGATCAGAGACCTCTTAAACCACAAAGACCCTGATTTGAGTCCATTCCAGGCATTATGAATTATGAATTTTTTCTAAGTGACTTTAAAAAATGCATTTTTCCAGATGCATTTTGCACTGCACAAGTGCAATTTGACCGAAAAACATAATACAAAGTTGATACATTTTTTCCATATAATTTTAGAAAGCGAATACAAAAAAACCCATCTTGATACGACTTGATCGAAAAATTTCGAAGATTTCGGATCTTTTTGTGCTTTATTTCCTCGATTATATGTGCAATTACAATTTTTGACTTTTGGAAACTCAGCACATAGAGTCTTTGAAAACTGTTTTTCTTACTTCAAATTTGGTACACACATTTTCTTACTAAGGGCAATGTAAATATAGAATTTGGTGAGAATACATATAAAGGATGTTCTCTTTCTAATGCCTGTGCGCTACTGGCTATCCCGTAACTTTTTGTGTGTACACCAGTGACGTCAGAAATTATATTTTTAAAAATAAACACTATTTTGGAAGATTTTTTGCCTCTTACAAAATTTTGATATCGTTTATGGATTTCGAGTAAAATTGGAATTTTTTATCCATCAAAATAGGCAAAAATTGCGATTACTAAAAAATAAATTGTAACTGCAGCCTCAAAGCATTGAATAACAATGAAAGAATTTCACATTGAAAATAAAAATAAAATTAACTATATATTTTTAGTGTTATTTAGTATTATCAATAAATAAAATCAAAAATCAACAGATTTTAAATAAACAGTATCAACTAATTATATAAGGAAATGAACATAAACATTTTAAATAAACCTTAATTAATCATCCTGTATATGTATTCTCACCAAATTCTTTATTTACATTGCCCTTATATAACAAAATATGTGTACCAAAGAGTGACCGCAAAAATCGCCCATTTTTTCACAATTCGCAGAGAACCAAAGAAAATAAGTACATAAAAATATGTTTTTGGTCTCAAGTTACTCGTCGTAAAAAATTAAGATAGGCATAGCTTTTAGTTTTTTGAAAATTTTCAAAAATCACAGCTATTTAAGGGTTGAAAAGACGCCTAAAGTGAAGAATTGAATATTACCAATAAATATAAAAACTATTAGCATGTGAATTTTTCTATAGAATGATGATTGATACAAAGAAGGATTTATTCTCTTGGCTGAAATAAGTATGTTGAATTAGAAAATCCACCCTTAAACGCGCTCAGGGGGTGGAATCATCCCCAAAAATAGAATAGAATATCAGAAATAATTGTAAAATTCCAAAAAAATATATTAAGATAATTCACATGCTAATAGTTTTTATATCAATTGATAATATTCAAATTCTTCATTTTTGGCATTTTTTCAACCCCTAAGTAGGGGTGATTTTTAAAATTTTCAAAATACTAAAAGCTATGCTCATTTTAATTTTTTATGACAACTAATTTGCGACCAAGAACATATTTTTATGTATTTTTTTTTAATTCTCTGCGAATTGTGAAGAAACGGGCAAAAGCACAGGTTTTTTGCGGTCACTCTTTGAAGTTTCTAGGAAAATAGTTTCCAAATTATTTGAAAAAAACTGGGTTATCTATTCTATATTCAGAAGGCTATATCTTAGTAGGGTATATCTTATTTTCAGCCAAGGAATCTGTGGTCAAGTGTTGTCTATACTTTACGGGGATGCCCTGTATATATTTTTATTAAATTGCCACTTTCTTTCATGTTTTCATCACAAAACGCTTTAGAGCTTTTGTTGATGAAAACCTTTTCTGTGTAGAAAACATTGTTGGTTTAAAATAGTCTTTCGAAATGCCAATTTTCCCTGAGTTTTAAAAATTAGGGGCAAAAGAACTTCACGCAAACCTAAAATCTCCGCCACTGGCATGTGAATAAAAATTGAATTAGTGCTCAAAATTAGTTAATGTTAATGATAATACGTCTACAAAATTTGAGTTTTGTATCTCAAACAGTTCCTAAGATATCATCAAACAATTGAAAGGAAAATTTGTGGACCTTCTATGCGCGACATAAGACGAATTCTTTCATAACTCTGGTAATATCAATAATACAAAAAAGTGTTGCTGATAAAATATGCACCTATTCTATTCTTCACATTTTAACATCGATTATACAGGGTGCCTCATTTCTTCTGGACTTTATTTAATTTCATTTTCTTAATGCACACTTTTTTCAATTCCTCGTTGAATTTAAGGCGTACTTTAATAAACAAATATCGGGTATAAGTCGTGTTTCAATGTTACTTGACGTTTTTTTTAAATAACGAGATGTGATTTACACAATTAATTCAAACAAGATATTCTTAACATCGAGTGCAAATATAGTAAATATGGACCTCAGAACTTTAGTTTTCAATCACGAATATTATGATTTGTTTAAATAGGGTGCAGATGCAAAATTGAATTCCCTTTCTATTTTTTTTGGGTACATTTCTTACAGATTGCGATATAACAATTAAAAAGTATGACATTATTGGTTAATTGTATATCAAAGAAAAAAAGAAAGTCTTCCATTTTATTTGGAAAACGAACCATTTTCTAGTTAAATTTTTTTTAAATACTAAATAATCAATATTCCTTAGAAACTAAAGAAATTCAACGCTACTGATTTTTGGGAACTTTGGAACTTGATAATGTTTTTATAATCGTATTTATAACAAAATTAATCCTATGGATTATATCTTTGAAACGAACAGTTTTACAATTATTATTATCTATATCCGTTCCTACCTAATAAGGTATTTTAGATTATAAAAAATATTATTAATAATAATTTGGCTCTTTCTCCGAATGAAATGAGAGAGACCTTTTTTCATTGAATACATTATCGAATTCGAAAATACTCAGTGACATCAAAATGATTCAGTGACTTTTAAATGTGCTTAATTAGGCAAAGTTTCATCACTCTTCACTTAAATTCAGACATATTGTAGTAAATCTGATATTTCTCAAATTCTTTTCTATTTTTTATCTCGAAAACTAAACTATTTAAATTCCCCAATATGAATTATTATTTTACTTCAAGTCCTCGAATTTGTTACACTATTTTTTTATATTCTTTATCTGTTGTTTCAAAAACATTAATACAGAATCAATTCAAATGGAGTAAAATACGAAGATTCACCGATTTTGTTGCAATAATTGTCATATTCATAAAAATTATATCAAACCGATTTCTATTTTAAAACACTGCATTAAAAAATATTGTGTACTTACTACGATGAATTTCATTTTGCAAATCAACTACACTTTCTGAGTTATAAATATCACTGATTTTGTAAATTCCAGACTGGCCTATATATTTTAAATTGCTGGGCTGTTGGGAATGAAGTTAATTATTTTTGCATTAAGCACATTGTATGAAAACTAAAGGGAAATTCCTACGATGACTCTTTAGAGTTAAAATTTTGTTAGTAATGATTGTAATTATCGAGGAATGTCTCTCTTTGAAGTAGAAGAATTGGAATATCTGGATGATAGTAAATCGAATTCTAATTTATTATTTTAAGAAAAAATAAAATTAGTGTGCAAATATCCAAATTCCAAATACACTACTTTTATGAAAGAAAAATGTTGTCTCTTATCGAAAATAACCATTTGGACTTTACTAGCCTCATACCTAATATCGCAGGATCTATTTTAGGAACATTACTTAACATTTATTTTCACAAGTAATCGATTTATAAATTCATCTGTTTTATTCCTACGATTAAATCCATGTTGCTGTGGCTCGTTAGCTCAGTTGGTCAGAGCGCCACACAAGTAGCTCCAATGCTTTGATGGAGGTCGCAGGTTCGATCCCTGCACGAGCCCACTATTTTTTATTTTTTATTAAACCGGTATCTATATTTTTAAAACAACTCTTGTAGCAATGCAACTAAACTGATATTGCAGATAGTCTTTCAATTTGAAGAAAGAACATAAAAATCGTATATTCAATTATACCGGATTGTTAAGAAATAATTTTCGATTATAACATACAGTACGTTCGCGATTAGAGTGGAAAAGAGGGAACATATTTTTTTACGTTTTTACATTTGCTATCTTTATTTGTTTCTGAGTTACAAGGCGTTTCTCCTTATTGTGACACTTTTGAACATGTCTGTATCTCAGCTGTTAAATAAGTTAGAGTTAAAGTGAAAACTGCTCAAGACTAATTCTTTGGCGTAGAATTGAATGCCGGCATTAGATTTTTAGTAGGTCTTAAGATTCCGGAGTCATGACCCAAAGTTAAATTTTTTAAATGGAAATCGTAGCTGGTCATTACCTAAAATTGCAGATTTTTTTTTTGCTTTTCAGCAATATATCACATGCTATATAGTTATATTTACAAACACAGGAGATGCGGGGTGTTTTATATATAAATTTACATTTTAATATGGCTGGTTATGAAAACACATACAAAACTATAATTCTTACATTTACAAAAGTAAAGAAAGTAAAGATGTAAAAATATGAAATTTATTTAAAATATACAATATTACAGATAAGAAAATATAGAGTTTTCAAATTTTTATTCCACTCCAATTCAAGTTACAATATTAAACATAAATTTAACAATAGTAAGTACCTACATCATCATCTAAATGTTCAAATTGCCGTCCATCATCTGTCACACATTTCGCGCATCTTCTGGCAACGCTTCGGGTAAGTGTATATTTGAAATATTATTAAAAGAATTTTCAACATTTCGTTGAAGTTCCTCGATAGAGTAAAAATGAATTTTAAATATAATGTCTTAGAAAACCCCAAAGAAAAAGTCCAACGGATTCAAATCAGTTAACTTAGCTGGCCATCTCATCGGTCCGTTTGTTCCTATACACCTATCTTCTAAAATTTCGTTAGTATTATATTATCATGCGAGTATATGTTGTGCATTTAAAATAAACGTCATATTTTTACAACAGATGAGTTTTGTAAAAGTAAGAGTTATAGTTTATTTGTATTTTCATAGCCAGCCATATTAAAAAGGAAAAAAATATGTTATTTATATATAAAACACCCCATACCTCCTATGTTTGTAAAAATAATTATAGTATGTGATATATTGCTAATAAGCAAAAAAAATCTCTATTTTTTTAGGTCATGATCAGCTACGATTTCCATTAAAAAAAATATAACTTTGGGTCATAACTCCTAAATATAAAGATCTACTAAAAATCTAATACCGGCATTCAATTCTACGCCAAAGAATTAGCCTTGAGCAGTTTTCACTTTAAGTTTTAACTTATTTAACAGCTGAGATACAGACATGTTAAAAAATGGGGCAATAACTCAGAAACAAACGAAGATAGCAAATTTCTGATTTGGCAGTCGAGTTCGCCATGAAAATCGAGCTCAAGAACGTCCTGTCAGATTTATCATATCTTTAGTAGTTTCTGAAATACCGAGAATTCCCATCGAAAATGGACCAACCTGTTTACGGTGTTGAGGAAATAAAAAATATGAAAATGATGTGAGAATAAAATTATTGCTTTATTTTTAACGACAAAAAAAATATGCGTTTATCAAGCACATCACCTCATTTAATAGGGTTTTTTTTGGAAATATGTTGAATTTATTTGAATGAACTTAACATATTTAAAATAAATTAAAAAATAGTCATAGATTTTTATCAATTTTTTATTATGTCCAGTTTTCTTTTTCTACTTGTCAACATGTTTTATTTGACTCTCTCTCTTCATTCAATAATTATCATTCAGTAATCATCCATTAACAAATACGGCCAAAAGAAATTAATTTAAAAGTAAAAAAGTAAAAGTGTTACAGAAAATTGTCGTTTTTTCGAAATTTAACCTAAGTTGAACATATTGTATAACCTCAGATATTTGGAATTACTTAATAAAAAACGAAACATTGCAGTTATCAAAAAAATTTCAAAATATAGCAAGTACTTTTTTTGTATATTTTTACAATTTAATTTTGGCTTTATATGTCAATGTTATTTAGAGAACTAAATAAAGGAGGATGTTCTAGCACAACTTCACTATTTTAGAAATAGCTTGAAAACGAAAAAATATATCAACCTCCTGTTTGTGTATTTGTTTTCCTTAATGAATTGCCTATCAAGCTGTGAAAAAAAACTATATCGTTACATTGTATTTTTTTTTAGTGAACGGAGACAATTATAGAACTTTTCTAATTAGCGTCGTCTACCGTTACCCAGGAAAATAATATTTTTATTCCCATATCATACATATAAATTTTATTAATAGTTCTTTAAAATGAGCCATCGTTTATTGAAATCGATTAAGGCATTTAGAAGTTACGACAATTTAAAAATTTCAAGATGGCGTCCTTTAAACTGGCGTTGCTATGGTAATAAAAAAAAGTTCACACAGAACTTGTGAAGGGTTTAACAGTGTATCTAAAAAGTGTACGAGTATTTTCAACATAAGTGATATAAGCGAAATTTCGAAAAACGACAATTTTCTGTAACACTATAGCAGTTGCGTCCTCTAGCGGTGAAGTTACAAACTTGAAAATATTTTAAATCAATCTCTTTTGGCCGTAATTGTTAATAGATTTTTTAAAATTAAAATAAAATAAATCCGAATAGAAAATCAGCCTCTATGTAAATAATCTCCAGTAACGTGAAAAATATAGAACTTTCTTGAATTTTTTCTCGTTTTGCGCACCTTCTTTGTTCATTAGAACATTTTTCTCATTTTTGTAGGTAAGTTTGTAAGTTTGTTTGTAAGTACAGTACAGTATAGTACAGGTTTTATATTTATGTACATTTATTTATCCAGCAAATTAAATTATCGGAAAATGTGCCGAACAAAATAATTAAAAACAAAAAAAATAATACGTAAAATATTAATTTATTATATAACAAGTATATATTTAAGTATATATTTACAAGTATATATTTATTTATTATATAACAAGTATATATTTCTAACAGATGTATTCTTGACACAATAACCAATTAGTTTTGTGAAATTATTTATAAGAAACCTGCAATTCCGATATCACCTCGAATGCCATCCATATTTCCCCAATAATCACGATTATTATTTTTATTTTGGGATATCTTCAGATTCGCCTGACTATTTCTTCTTGAGCTGTGATAAACAGCAACCTGATCAGTTCTGCCAACTAAGGACTGTCGAACAAAAAAGGATATCATTTTTTCGACGAACAAGCTTGGCCAGACCGAATTAGAGTTTCCTCCCTTTATGTTATTTTGATTAATTTGCTGGCGTTTATTATTTAGTTTGACGTTACTGTTGTTACTTGCCACTTGTTTCGTGCTTGAAGCTGACTGGTTGAAATTTGCTAAAAATTCATTAAATATGTCGGAATAAGTGACATTCACTGTATTGGTAGACGTGCCTGTCTCTGTGTCATTTTTATTTTGTTCAGTATTGTTTTGTAGGATTATGTTAGATACAAATAAAGTCATATTCTTCTTAGCATCTTCAAAATTCGCGCATCCTTTGGTTATTGTTTCATTTTTACCAATGTTGTTTGTGTTATTACCTTTACCATCTTCTTGTATAGGCAGGGTTATATTTAGATTAGTTTTGTCCACGCAATTCTCATAAGATACAGTTACTAAGGGAATACTGCTTATATTTGACAATATCGAAGATTCGTAGAGTTTAACAGAATCTGTCTTATCTTGATTGGTTGTAACAGTCATATTGTCAGTCACTTCAGTTATGTTTAATTTTTCTGCAATGCTGTTCTCTTTTATTCCAGGATTTTCATCATTATTGTTTGTTTTATTGTTAGTTGTATGGGTAATCACAATGGAAAGATCATTAATACTCTTGCCAGTATTATTGTTGGATGTGTCTTCTTCATTATCGAGTTTCTTAAGTGTATTTTTTTCAATTAATACATCCTCAGTTTTGACGGCACCTGTTTTTGACAGCTCACTTGAAGGTCGATGAACTTTATACTGAAGATATGATTCCAAATTCTTGAGTTCTTCATTTTCAACGACAGCTGCAACGAAATTTGTAATTGAGTATGATATTATGGACAGAAATCTTTTTTTTATTAATATTTCATGATAACTTTAATCATTTTACCTGAAACTGTAGAAATAAGTGTAATTATAACATAAATTTAACTTTGAATTTGAATAACTTTTGTAAAAGTAGGTTTATCAAAAAATGATAAGGGGACATTTTTTGTAGAACGTTCAATTCCCCACAATAATATGTTTCGGTCATTTAAATCCGTCTATTGGTTTTTAAGATATAAAATTCTGAAATTGAAAAATAATTTTTCCCATGTTATTTAAATGGAAAATAGAAAATCACGATGCGCGATCTCTTAATATTAATATAAAGAGTTCAGATTTTTACAGGCATCTCTTCTCACCTCCCTGAATCTATTTCAGAAGGGATTTTGAAAAACAATTTTTAATCGGACTAGTACGTAGAAATACTTAAATATTTAAAGGTATATTTTTGCAAAGTATAACTCCATCAAACCCTACCCTGCTGAATTTTTTTACGGGATCGAATTTGAAAATACATATTATCTTAGTGCATGGTGATTTACGTTATGCGTAAATATTACAGATATTCTTAAAAAGTTTTCTATGAAAATATTCATTATAATAATTGATTTTAAATTTAACTCTTTTATTCCTAATATTGTCGAATAAAAAACAATTAATTACATATTTTACGCGCTAAACTGTACTGCTATTTGAAGTATACAGGGTGTCTCTCGGTGACGGCCCATTAGAATTATTTCAGAGACTACTTCGATTTGAATTTTGAAAATTTGGGATACCGAGTTTTCGGACATGCCCTTCTCAACTAAAATAATGGCGTCCACGTACCACTTCC